ATGGGTCCCGTATCTAGTTGCAGAGCTCTCTTTCTCTCTAGCTCGCGCGCCGGGGAGCGCAAATTAAGGCAATTTCGCGCAACTCGGGCACATTTTTTTGTTGTTGTTCTCTCTCTCTGCAGCTCTTGCGCTACACGGGATTCTCAAAACGAAATTAAGCCTTTTCGTAACACGGACACACAAACACACAAACAAGTTGGCGCGCTGCGCTCCCTTAATCCGACGACGTTTAAAACTCGCCTGGCGAGCAAAAAATCGGTGACACAATCGATCTACGATATATGGCCATATAGCGTGCCGTAACTCGTGTCGCAACGCACGTGTTGTTGCCTCGTTATGACTACGATTTGGCACTTTTTTAAAGCGCGCGCCACACGTCTCTCCGTCTGTCTCTCGCTCCGTGGCTTGATTAAAATTCACTCCGTCGGAATGACGTGGATTTTCTCTTCTCTCTCCCTCCTTCGCTCTTCTGCTGCTGCTGCTTGTTTCGCTCAACTGCTAAAGAGAGATTGCAGAAATCCTTGCCAAAGTCTCTCGCGCAGCAGCAGCAGCAGCAGCAACGGAGGAGCTCAGGTGTCTCTCGCCCGCAGAAGGTTTACTTTATGTATCAAGGCGCTCCGAATTTTGCGGTACGTTATACAGATATATATACATAACGCATGCGGCGCGCGTATATATAATATAGGCGAGAGAGGAGCCTTGGGGGCAGTATATGGAGAACATCAAAACTGGATGGAGTCCCGAGAATGAGAAATACACACCGGGGCTCCTGCGATATGGCACAGACACGCTATGTGTACAGCAACGGCTTTGAAGAATAACGAGAAAAGTTGGCCTCTGCTCGCGCGCCATCGTCCATTTGTGACGATGATGCCGAATGAATATGAATATATGGCGCCTTTTTGACCTCAAATTTAATTGCTTTTTCTTTTCCCTGCGCGCTCCTGTTTGCGCGCGTATGTACGCACTCGATGGATTTTGTCAAACGCCACCGTGAGAGTCGCCGAGCGCTCTGCTCGTGGCTATAAAAAAACGAATAAACCGATTTATTTTCCCGCGCAATCGTTGCTGTGTACTCTCTCTCTCTGCGCGTTGCGTGCCGCACATATCGTCGTTCCACGGTACCGTCAAAAAGTTCCTTCGTGGACGATCGTAATATTTTTTTTCGTCTCTTTTTTTTTGGTGCAAAATTTGGAAACTTCTGATAGTATCTAGAGCGACTTATTATTACAGATGGAGGAAAACTTTGTAATATCTGTCGACGAGCAAGTCGTTACAAGACAACTTTACCCTCGCTATTGTGTACAGATGTCATTCTCATTTTGAGGGGGGAAAAAAAATGAGAGAAGAAGTAGGATTTCTTCTTAAAGTCGTATTACCGATTTGGACTTTGACATCTTAAACAATTACTCGGATTTCGAATGGCTGCTGGGAATGGCGTATAGTGCTTCGCGAAGAGCGGCATCTCGGAGTCGCGCGACGCAGATATCTGTATAATGTGCTTTTTATCTTCTCGCGCGCGTCTCTCTCTCTCGTGGCGGGATATAACTGCGTCGACGCGACTCTTTTTTCGATTTAGCCTATACGTAATAAGAAACCCCGCTGCGTTTTCTCGATGAAAAATTCGATATTTATACGACGCCCAGGCTGCTTTTGGTACATCACTAGACCGACAAGAGAGAGAAAGAGAGAGAGAGAGATATGTATAAATAAAAGCTAAGAGCTTTGATATATTTTTTCTCTTTTTATTATTCGAAGAGCAATCCAATAATTTGCGCGCAACTCTAATAGATCCTCGTTCCGCGTGCGTATATTTTTTTAAATAAAAAAAATAGGAGAGAAAAAAGTAATCCATGCCAAATGACGAAGAAGAGCGAGAGGAGGAAAAGGGAGAGATAGTTGATGCGCGCATATCAAACCTATTGAGTAACGGGCACGAACGTGTTTTTCTTTTTCTTTCTCCTTTTTTTTTTCTATATTCCTACCTGCCAATTCGAATATGACTTTGCCATGCACAAAAGGCCATCCTATATATATCGCATTCAAAAGCTTCGCAGACCCGTCTAACTTCAATATTCGCAATCGAAAAAGATGAGGCCGGTTGTGCGTCAGATGTATATAGCGAAAATCGCTGGTGATGTGCATTAAGCTTCGTTTTTTTCCTGCTCCTGAAGCAGCAGCAGCAGCAGCAGCAGCAGCAAAAGAGCTTCGCGTGTACATAATGGACCAATGGCGAAAAATTAGCATGTGCATAAGCGGAGGAAAAAAGATTATTTTTAATTTTTCTGGAGGTGATCCTTTTGCGAGTGTGCAAATTAAGGCGGCACCGCGGCAGCAGAGATAGAGAGACAGACAAAGAGAAAGAGGAGAAAATGTCCAGAAACATAACTCTTGCTTGGTTAGAGTTAAGGACGTGGGGAAAAATTGTACTGCACACGCGAGAGCATATTTAGTTTTCCCCCTAGATGAAGAATAATTTTTTTTTTATTTTCGAGAGAGAGAGAAAGAAAGGACGAGTTAAGTTACGTATTTCTCTTCATGCTTCGTTAGTATACGTCCAAGTGAAAATTGTACAAAGACCCACATCCTTCCAGGTATTTTCTTATGCGTGAGAAGAAATTATGCTTTATATTTTATACATCCAGGAGCTCAGGTGACTCTGTGCGGCGGCGGCGGAACTTTGTGTCTATATGTGCCGCGCGCGCGCGCGCGTAATTAAGGGAATGTGTATATTAGCGTGAAAAGTATTTTCCTTCTGGTTTCCTTTTCTCTTGACGTTCTTCCTATATGTATACAGGCGGCATAACGAGGCTGTGTATAATACATCCTATACACTAGCCAACTATAGGTACTCGCGTGGCCTCTCTTGGCACAATATGCCGCTACCTGCCTGTGTATACATTCGTCAGCTGTTGTACGCGCAAGTTTTGAAAATTATGTTAATTATTTACCGCTCGTATACACACGCCGGCTGTTAGTGTGTGTGTGTGTGTGTGTATGCACAGTCGAGAGTTACCTTATTTACGAAGGAGAGAGAGAAAAAAAAAACGTGGTAGCAAGCGAAAATTTTTCCATTTGTTCACGCGTGCCAATACTCGAATGTACGAAGGCGTATAATCCGATAGATATACACACATTTTTTTTTAGTATCGATTCGATAACGAGAGCAGCGGGACAAATCGATGACGGTCTCCGCTCGCGCGTTTATATAGTATAGGTGATACCCTCATATATGTAGGCCGTGGAATGCCAATTACCAAATCACTGATCGATGTGTCGGCGCCTTTTTCGCTCGAATTTTTGGTTGATATTTACGAGCAGTTGCGAGAGAGGAGCATAGAATAAATACATATACGTTATTTAAAAATGACAAGCCTTGGATTATTTCGTAAAAAAAGGTAAAAAAAAGTTGGATGTAAAAAAAAAAAGTACACTCGCAGCCGCCACACACATAGGCCTATACACGCGCGCAAGGAGGAGAGGCTCGTAATATACAGAGCACGCGAAAAATGGATTCTCAGAAAAGCTGCGTATCATACCCATTTTTCGCATACTTTGTAAGAAATCTCACAAAACGCAACGTAACATTTATACCTGATACGATGTATGATTTTGTTTTTTGAAATGTATATGATAATGCTATGAAATTACCGGCCGGCCGACTATAATGCGATGGAAAGTAAGGTATTATAATAACGATGCTTCTGAGCCGGAGCGCCGATCGTCATCGTTAAAATATGTGTGGTACTTTGCGATGTGATGAACGAGCGAATACACACTCGCGCGCGCACACACACACACACACATGCGAAGGCGTTTGCACGTACGTCGTGTACTATGAGCAGGAGAAACAGCGGTAAACATATCACGTGATAAGATTGCGCGAGGCTCGACGACTGCAAATAGTCGTGTTAAAAAAAAAAAAAAGAAAAGAAAAAAGTTAAAAGAGAAAAAGGAGAGAGAACAACAACGGCAGCGATAGCGCATTGCAGTACACACACCCGCTCACACACACACACACGAACACAGAGAGTCGCACTTACTTGTCAGTTTGTGAAAAAAAGCAACAGAAAAAAGAAAAACAATCCGAGCGGAGTTGGAAATGTTAGTTCAGAGATTCTCGGAATCTCGATCGCGACACTTTTCACTCGTTTTTTTTTTGTTATCTGGTCTATACACACTATATGTGTCAAGTTATAGCAGAGGAATAATTTGCACCTCTTGAAGCTTTAGCGACTATTTAGCTCATTTCGTAAGCCGTGTGTAATATAGAACGTGTATACTCGGCGAGATATCTGGCGTCGTTATCGGCGCGAGCTCGTGTGTGCGTGCGCGTATTGTATGTATTGTCGTACATACACCGAAGCGAACGAGTTGGTGTTGTACATCGGGGAGGCGTCAGCGTGACAAATAAAAATTATTACTCATTGCGGAAAAATGTTGATAGGTCGCGCTAGAATAGTTGAGTAGACGCGTGCGATGATTGTGCGTCCATAAGGTGCGTATAATAATCGCGATCCGTGCGTACGACGTAATACAACATGTGTATCCACACATATAGCAAGTATAATATCAACAGGTCTCTCCGGTGTCTGTGATGCTGCTGCTGCTGCTGCGCTATGTATGCGCGGAGATATATAAAGGCGCTCGCTGGAGCAAACTACTATACATGTATACGCGCACGGGGCCAACAACACACGCAGTAGTACAGCGCGCAGTACCACCGAAGATGAGAAGAAAAATAGAGAGAGAGAGCGAGGAAGAATGAAAAAAGGAACTGCCGTGTGTGCGTGCGTGCGTGCGAGCGAGCGAGAAAGAGAGATGAATGCGTGTGCACGAGAGAGAGGGAGAGAGAAGAGAAGAAGCTGCGGTGTGCGATTCTACGTATGTGTATGTGCGTGAACGCGCGTACACCTCTCAAAGACTATATAGTAGTAGTAGTAGTAGTAGTAGAATACAAGGATGAGAGAGTATGTGCGTGTTTGGTAGTTGTAACGTACCTTGATGCTTCGAGGAGCAGCGCGTCCGCTGGTCTCTGTCTTGTGTATGTTAAAACGCCGTTTCTCTCTCTCTCTTTCTCTACACGGCGCAAAGAAAGAGAGAAAAAGTGCCTTCTTCTTCTTCTTCTTGTGTCGCTATCTCGCTCGCTCTCTTTTGGGGCCTTGCTCGGCGACACTTGAAATGCTCACCACAGAAGAACACAGACACACACCAACAACGACTGCACACTGCACTCACATGTACGTGACGCGTGTGTGTTGTACCAATTGTATACTTGTTACGTATATGCAGGCAGCAAACACACACAGAGACACATTTGTGTATCTTATACACAGAGGGACACTTTTAGCACTTGGCACTACACCGATATACACGTGTGCTGATGCTGCTGCTGCTGATACTACTACTGTCGCTAGTGTGCAGGATGCTAGTGCGTTCACAGAGACTTATACTACGTCTACGATTACACTACTGCTGGCTCGGCTCTTCTGGCTTTTTCCCGATGCGTAAGACCGGTATTATACACACTTAAATATATGCAATGTCGCACGCGTGCAAGTCGCGATGCCGACTAGTAGTAGCTGTGGGATAGCCAGCATACACTGGCTCTCGCGCACTGACTCACTCTCTGCGCGTACTACAACCGAGTAGTAACGCAACTGACACTGTGTGTACTACCGAATAGTATAAGTAGTAGTAGTAGTATTAGTATACGTTACGATACGAGCGCGAAGCAGCAAAGGCTTTGCGATACATGAATTATTGCCGCCCGAGCTTATTACGATCCGACTCGGTGCGTTATATAGCTCGGCCGATTTCGCGAATTATCTTGCGTATATTGAATATATATACGTGAATCAGCAGTCCAAGCGGTGCAGGGGCGCGCGTTATCGGTAAGATAGGCGCTGGCTGGCTTTCATCTTGCTGCGCGTTACGTGCGATAACGATCGCGAGCAGTGCATTTTTTATTATACAACGTATATATCGAGGAAGACCGCCGCCGCCGCCGCCGCCGTCGTCGTTGCTAAGAGCGATGACAGCCAACGACGTTCGCGACGATTTATACGTTGCGATATGTCGCGTGCGCGCTGCCCCGTGTGTCTCTGCTGCTGTGTGCAGTAGCTCTTTTTTTATGGGCTAAAAGAGCTATGGCAGATATATGTATGTATGAAAAGCGCAGACACTATATATAGTACAACGCGAGAACAAGTCAGCGCACTGCTGCTGCTGCACACTGCACATATACCTATAGATTCACCATGCACAAACTATACATTATTTTACACACTCGCTGGGTACGCACTCGCACACACACACAGACACTCGCGCGTGTATATTAATGTCGAAGAACTGCACACCGAGACACGCATTCGCTTGCAAAAAAAAAATTGGCAATCCAGCGGGTATCGCTATTGTTTGTATCGTCGCGCGACAGCTACTGGTCCTTCTCGCGCATGCAAACGATGCTGGTGCGCTGAACGATGGGCTCGATTTTGTCGCATCCACTACTACCCAAGGATCCGCGAGAGTAGCTCGTGATCGTCGTTCACCATATCGTCGCGGCGCTATCAGGTGTGCTGCAGAGTTGCTGATGCTGCCGATATTCCGCAGCTGCTGCTGCTACGACTACTGCTGCCAAGACCGTGCTCTCGTAAAATTCTCTCGTGCTGCCACTGCCACTACTGCTACTGACGTGCTGCTGCTGCTTGTCGATATTAATAACGCGGCACATCGTTGTTTTCATTATCGTGTGTATATTTTTTCTGCCAGCCCCGCTGATGCTGCTGCTGTGTTTCTATACAGGCCTTTTAATATTTCGCGCGGAGTATTTTTTTCGGAGCACTGTTTGCTACATCGTCGCTGCTGATGATGCACCAATACAACACTGGCGAGACATAAAACGAGCCACAAACAAACGACGACGACGACGATTCGAACGATTATTCGAACTTTTTCGCACTGTTTGTCGTTGGCTTATACGCGTGCAGTGCGCGCTCGGGACCGAAATGATCTCAGCGAAACAAACTGAACCGATACTGCGGTCGCGAGGAAAAAATCGCGAACGCCCAAGCGCATGTGAAAATGCCGAGCACGCGCGATTATATATATGCACTCGTGTAGTATACCCGCGGCTACTATATAGACTATAGACGTTATGCTGCTGCTGCTGTTGTTGTATACATCGACATAGGTATATATATTATGGAGTTTCGCAGGCTGCAGTGCGCCTCTTTCTCTCTCGCTACTACTCCGAGAGTCTCGTCGGTGCACAAGCGCCGCAAAAGGGAGAGCGCGCAGAGAGCGGAGCTATGTGAACGGTACGCGTCAGCAACTATACTGGTTTTCGAAAGGAGAGGAGAGGACGGCGACCGCCGCAGCCGCGCACCGCCACTACCGTACCCTATATACATATACATATAACGCGCTACATATACCGAGAGAGAGAGAGAGAGAGAGAGCCGCGCCGATGCAGTACGGGGCTCTACCTTCGCGACTCTATACTCGCACACTACACTATATACGCGCTTGTGCAGCCCTGTGCTCTACGTGCGTGTGCGAATAAAATTGCACACACTCACGGACTATACGTATATAGTAGAGACGCGGCGACGACGACGACTCGGGGGCCCGAATTCAGCGCCGCCAATATGCGCGAAACTCGTTGCGCGGCGCAAAATGGCTCGAGAGGAGACTCGACTGCATATATGCACTATGCAGGGTCGCTTGCTCGGCCGGTGGCCCAACGACGACGCCGTGAAGCGAACAGAGAATTTCGATTCGCAGATTCGTGCGTCTGCACAGCGCACCGCGCAGCGAGCCGGCTCTACAACTTGCACATTTGTGTATACCGCTGCCGAAATCCCTCATGGAAATCGGCAATCGGTACCGCGTCGAGATTTAAAGTAGAAAAACAAAACGTGTGCGCTTGCAAGCGTTCGAATGTGGACGTCCGTGTGTGTAACGATTGAAAGGGCGACTGATGAAACTGTACAAAATTCAAAAACTACTGTGGTCCGTTGGCACCGCATGGTGATGCACGTTCGAATATTATCTTCTTACTGCATCAACGATAAAGCGTCGAAACTCATTTTCATACTCCTCAAGTCATAATTGTCAAAAATATGAGATTTTTATGGAAATCAAATTACTAATTAATAATTTTAAACGTAAAAAGTCAAGATAATTGCATATTCAAATACTTTAAAAGTTGATGCAATGAATAATCCATAATCCTTTTGACGTGAGCGACGAACTAAGATGATCGATATCCATTTCAATTCAATTACGATTGTTATTACATATCCTTTTTTTGTAAATCAACAATTAACTAAATTGTATTAACATAATTTTAAAAAGGTATGAGAAGTTCTTTAAAATTGCGGTAGATATAATACAAAAAAAATCTACAATTACATAAATTTTTTCAACATTTTTTATTATCATAAAAATATTGAGCTTAAATATACGTATAATCTACAAACGACGACCACGACGACCTCCCTTCCTGCGGGTCGAGTCTGATGGGATTGGGGTAACATCCTCGATCCTGCCAATCTTCATTCCTGAACGAGCAAGAGCTCTCAGGGCTGATTGAGCTCCAGGACCTGGGGTCTTGGTTCGGTTTCCACCGGTTGCCCTCAGTTTGATGTGCAGAGCCATGATGCCCAAAGACTTGCATTTTTCAGCAACATCCTAATAAAATTGAAATAGTTTATAAGTAATATTGTCATTGCAAGAAAATTTCCTACATCAGATAATTGAGTCGAGTCAAGGTAAAATTATTTAAAACAAATTTAAACTCACTTGAGCAGCCAACATAGCGGCGTAGGGTGAAGCCTCATCACGATCAGCCTTCACTTTCATACCACCAGTGACACGCACATATGTTTCCCTGTAAATGACAAAGATAAACCCTTTAGTTCACATAATTCACATATATCTGTGAATAAACAATAGATTCATACTCACTTTCCAGAGATGTCAGTGACATGAACGAATGTGTCGTTGAAGGAAGCAAAGATGTGGGCAATGCCGAATACATTTTCGCCTTCACGAACCTGGGGTCCAAGTGAAACTTGAACCTCTTCTTTAACTTTCTTCTCTTTGCGTGGTGCCATGTTTAATCTGAAAAATAAACGTAATCATGAAGAGTTAATATCTCTGCAATTTCATATTTTTCTAGCCCTATATATAAAATAGTGGAACATGTGTGTACAGACTAAAAGCGAATAGATAGTAAATAAATTTGATTTCAGGTTATATAGCCCGGTCAACTACCACGTGTGTAACTAATATAATTTGTGCAAAATGTATTGCTTAGTTCGGCAATAGTAATAATTACAACTAATTAATATGTTAATGAAGATAATTGTACGTTTATCAATCACTCGAACGAAACATCATAACTTTACACAAAAAGGAAAAGGAAAGGAAAATTCACTTCTTTTGGTTATGGGTCCGAGAATGGGCTGTTAGTGGTGCTTTATGGAAACCTTGCTTTTACAGTAATAACATTTGGACGAAAATTTGCACCTCAAATTTTTTATCAACACATAAGACACTACATTTGTCAATAAAAGTTGCATTTAATAATTATAATCGTCGTAAATTAATTTTCGCTTTACCTTAGGCCAATTCGCAGACAGACGTAAACGTCGAAAAGAACGAGAGCTCGCGTCTACAGTTGCAGATCAAAAAAAACTAGAAAATTGACTCCTGCGCACTCTTCTGCTGGATACCGTAGGCGTAGCCATCTGCGTTGGAATGGCGGGATTAATTGAGTGCGTCATCGCTGAGCATCTCTCAGAAACTAACGTATTTATTATACTGTATAATAATATATAAGAAACCAATAACTTAAAAGTTATGGAGAAAATTTAGCTATCGTATATTCGCTGAAAAGTTGCTCAACAACGTAAAACGTCAGTTTTTTATGGTAATTATTCAAAACATGCTATTAAAGATAACATTTTCAAGATATTAAAAATTTTACGTTATATCTCTCGTTTTTTCGTGGTGAAAATAAAAAATCCAGAAAATCGGTGCACCAACGAAAAAACATAACGAAGTTATGTTTCATAATTTTGGGCTTTTTATAATAAACCCTAATAAATTTTACCACTTGCGACATCAAAATCCAAGTCGCCAATTGTAATGAGACCCTCAAACTATTTCTGGCGCCAATCGTGAGCGCATGGCATCTGTAAACTCGCGTAGCAGTCAGATGAAGACATATGTAACAACATAATAATGCGTGATTCTCGACATTAGTTTGTTTATATAGTCGATCGTATCTGCATATCAAAAGTATGCACTTATTAAACTATTACGATGCCAAATTTTGGTGACGACCGTTCGATTATGGATGAATCCTTCGATATATACGCCGATTTGCCGAGCATTCCTCTCGTTGAGGCATCTAACGATGCAGAAATCCAGAAGGTTAGAGAGTGTTTAGCAATAGCTGAGCTTTTTTTGATGAAAGCTCCGGATTAATCGTTTCGAAACTTTCAGAAAATCGATGAGGCCAAATCCCAGCTCGAAAAGGAAAAAATCCTGCTGGAGGCCAAGTACGAGAAGTTAGTAAAAGATAATAAACAGTTGGAGATTAGTTACTCGTCACTCTTAAAAACTTCCAGAGCTGAAATTGCTCGCAAAGATCGTACAATTGCTGATTTAAGAGCGCAGTAAGTAGGGCGAAATTATAGTATCAATGTCAAGCTCGTTTTATTAAACTGTAAATCTTTTAGGCTGGATAACATGGCATTTCGAAGAAATGAGCGAAGGAACCCGTATAGAAATAATCCACCAGAAAACAATTACAACAACAAATTTGTGGGTTCTAATCAAGAGTATCGTCAATTCAATCACCATTCATTACATACTAAAACACCTGCTGGAATATCTGGGAAAGTTGAACCAAGTCCTATTGATCAAATTCGAGGAAATTTACCAATTCCAGCTACTATTACAGCTCAAAGTAAAGAATTAATATCATCAAATGAATATGTTGACCAGGGAAAACTTCCACAGACAAATGAAAATTCTGATGTTGACGAAGATTATGAATTAAATCATGATAACGAACCTGGAGATGAATCCGATGATGGTATTATTAATAAACCAGTATATGTGAGTACTCTGTATGGAGAAAGATTACGAAAAAAATTGAAAGAAGAAGAGCAAAGAGAAAATGAAGCTAAACTGGAACAACAGATAAAAAATGAAGAAACCAAAGCGAATAACATTATTAATTCAGAAGTAAAAAATTCAAATCAAACGCATTTGGATAATATTGATCAGAAAAGTTCAAAAGAAAAAATTATTCATGCTAGTAATGTCAAAAATGACAAAATAGTTGTTGCTCCTAATGTATGTGAAAAAGTTTTGAGTGAACAAATTACTCAACCAAAATCAATTGTGATTGATAAAGTTAATAATAAAGAAAACCTATCAATTCACAATAGACAACAACATGTAGACAATAATGATAGTTACAATTCTCAAAGGAATAAACCCAAAATAAATGAAATTCATAGTTCTGAAGAAAAACTTTCAAGTAAAGTTGAAAATATCAATAAAAATCTTACAGATAATATCAAAACATCTACTTCATCTACTTCAAGTCTTGAAAACCCTCAAAGAATCCATGAAGAAGATAAAAATTCATCAGTTTCTTCAACTTCTAATACATTGAAACACGAAGAAAAACTTACTGGTCAAAATAATGAAAGACTTCATGATCCAATTTCTAAAAATTATAGAAATTCTCAACATCATACTGATTCACGACATTATAGCACAGAAAGGCACAGACATACAGAATCACGTGATCGTGAAGAAAGACATAAAAAACATGATAAACGCGATAGGCATGATCGTTCTGAGCGACATAGAAGTTCACATCGACGTAGATCCAGATCCAGATCCAGATCCAGATCCAGATCCAGATCTAAATCTAGATCTAGGAAACACAGAAACCGTGTTCATTCTTCAAGACATGATTCTGAAAGAAAACATAAAAGGGACAAAATAAGAACTCCTAAAAAAGATAGGATAAGGACGCCTAAAAAATATAAAAATAAAACTCCTAAAAAGAATAGAATAAAATCTCCCAAAAAAGAAAATAGAAAAGAAAAGTCACCTCATAAATCTTCTCATAAGGATTCTAGTAATGTTAATAATGAAAAAAAAGAAACACTGAAACGCAAGGCAGAGGATATTATTGATGACAATAGTGACAATAGTAAAAGAAAAAAGACAGAGTTAAGACCACCAGTGGAGAAAATATCTGCAAGCAAAAACGTTCAAGTTACTGGAACTAATGTAAGTCAAAATTTAATGGAAATTGAACCATGTCCCAAAGTAATGTCTATTGTTACAACAAATAATCATGAAATTAATAAGCAGACCTTGAATTCTGAACTAGGTCATGAAAAACTGGCTTTAACTCAAAAAAATAATTTAGAAAAAGAATTGGAGGATAGAGAGTTAGAGGAAGGAGAAATAAATGATAGCATAGATTCACCCTTCTTGCTGAAACTTTCTGATGATGAAGATGAAATTAAAAATAATGCAAATGATGCAGTTAGTGTCCAAAATGACAAAATTAATGAAAAAGAAAAGGTTGAAGATACTTCTAAAAATTCTGTAGATGAAGATAAACTTAAAAACAATAGAGACAAAGTGCAAGACGGTAAAATTAATATAAATGAAAAAAAGCTTGAATTAGAAAATTTAACTAAAAATCTTAACAAAGAAAAGAGAGAAATCGATAATCAAATAACTGGATTAATAAATAACGAAATTATTGTTAATGAACGAAAATCTGATCCGGAAAAATCGACAGAAGTATCAAATTCATGTTCAATAGAAAATAAGGGTATAGAAAAAACTGAGTCTCAACAACCATTGTTAAATGTTCTCCCTCAAGAAATGAAAAAACCAGGAGTTAAGACTGCAGAATTAAATCAGAAAATTTGTGTCAATGCTTCATATAACAAGAATAATTCTTCAATAAAAAAAGAGAATATAACAAGCTCATCTGCTATAGTTGAAGGTCAGAAAAATTGTGATAATAACATTAACAACACTATTGTGACACCCTTAAAAGTAGAACAAATAAGAACAACACATTTGGTTACTGACGCTTACAAAATCTTTAGGAAAACACCAGTTAAATATGAAGTTGGTGGATTGGTCAAAAAAATGACTCCAATGAAAACAATTGAATCTGTTACCAATGAAATTCGCTCAATTTTAAGTAGTGTGAATTCAACTGAAGAAAAAGTTCAAAATGCTTGCACTAAAACTGTTAGAAGAACAGAGTCTACAAATTCAGAAAAAAATGAAGTATGTGAAAAAGTACTAGCGGCAGAAAAAAGCATGGAGATAAAAGTATCAAACATTAAAAAAGAAAAATCTGACAAACCTACTGACCCTGCAGATCAATCTAAAAAGCGAAATGCAGAAGTCACAAAAAAATCTGAAAAAAAAGCAGAGATAAAATTGAATCAGTTGTCGGTTAAACAAGAAAAATTATGTGATTCAAGTGAAAAACTCATTGAGAAAAACAGTAATGAAACATCTTCCACATCTAATGAAAATTGTGAAGTTTCGAAATTAAATGAGCATCTTGAAAATAATACCGAAGGATCTATGTTACACCAGTTATTAATGAATAAAAATATAAAAAATTATCCATACACCAGAAATTGTAGTAAAATCAATGACAACAATTTGAAGTCAAATGCAGAATGCACATTAGGTAATAGTCAGAAAAATACTCTAGATACAAAAGCTACAGATTCTAATCTTGATAGCAAAACCGTTGCTAAAAAAGGTAGCAAAAAATCCATGAAAGTGGAAAAAACTAATTCAAACAGTTCAAGTACAAGTTCAGTAGTAAATGCAGCTAAATTACAGGATAAAAAACAAAATCAAAAGAGTACAGAAGAAAAAGTATCAAACAATCAAAGTTTGCCAGCAGTAACCAGCAATCTACCCAGAAACAATATTCTTGCTAATGCTATTATTGATCCATCAAAAAAGCTCGCTTATCTGAATGGTAAAAAGATCATTCTCATCCCTCGTCGTCGAAGACCAGTACAACTAGCAGATAGTCCACCTGTTAGAGTTGCAAAAAAGTGATTGTGATTAAAATGTTGGCATGTAAATATTGTTATTATATATATATTGTATTTGAAGATGTGTAAATACTTTCGAAACATGTTTGAAGTGATAATGTACAAATGTAAATTTTTTTATATGCAGTAATACTTATACAATGCATGTACGCTTTTATACACCATAATGGTGTTAATTTTCTAATTAAGAAGACATCACAATCAATTAATCCTATATATTTGACATTTGTCATTGTAAATATTGAAATTAGAAGTGTTATACACTGTAAATCCTAATTATATTTTTTATAAAACGTTACAATATTTTATAAATATATGGCATATTTATTACAACTCTGTCTTTTATTATGTTAATCATCTAAAAGAAAAAATGAAAATTTTTTTGCGGACAATCTTTTGAAAATACATTTGCAACCCTTTCGTCACGTGACACACATAATTAACCTATCCTGATCAAGTATCAAAGTTCCCGCGACAGTAGAGATACCCCAATGCTATGAAAGTGTACCCTAATGGTTGGGAATGAGTACAGAAAACTGTCGGGCCGCGGCTAGCGACTACATCAAGTACCCTGCGAACATCGTATGGAACTTGCATTGTAAAGATTGCCCAGTGCTTGCTTTACGCATCTCTGATTATTCGAGCCTAGAGGGCAAAGACAAAAAAAATATTTATATGGGACAAGACAATTATTAAATTAATATGTTGATGGCACCAAAATTACATTCACTGTTGTTCCTAGGTTCAGTGAAAACAATTTGTTGATATAACACTCACTCTCAATATTTAACTTCATGTTAGAAGTCAGTGTTTTGTAGTATTAATTTCTGTGATTTGAGAAGAAAGTTTAATTTTTTTTTTTTTAATAAAAAAACTCTCATCACCATGTCTCAGAAGACTCCAGCTTTTGAAGTTGATCGCAATGCACCTATTATGCCTGTAAGTGGTTCACAAATTTTTGTAATAAAAAATATTGAATTAATTTAGTGTATTCAGATCAAATGATTGTTCAATTAATTTTACTAATCAAAGTAATTGTTATTATTTCAGCAAATTCAGGCATTAATAGCACCACCTTCATCTGATTCTTCAAGTGGCAGTCATAAAAAGAGAGAAGAGCGCAGGCACATATATTTTAAAAGACCTGGACGAGGACACAACAGAGATTCTTGTGACGCTTGCCATGATGGGGGAGAACTGATATGTTGTGATAAATGTCCAGCTTCTTTTCATTTATTATGCCAGTTAGTATATTACTATCAAATTACAAAGACTAATATGTATTAGCCATTCAGTTTATTATACTTTTATGGATATTATTTGCAGTGATCCTCCTTTGGAATTGACGGATATTCCTAATGGAGAGTGGGTTTGCCATGCTTGCAAAAGTGCTTCTTTAAGGGATAGTAATGGTAATAAAAAGAAGAAAAAATCACCATTAGAAGTTTTAGCACTTGCTGCTTCTCTGGTCAATCCAAAGGAATTTACTCTACCTAGAGAATTCCAGTTACCTATTACATTTCCTGGAACGGATAAAGTTGATCCTGTAGCTAAAAGAGGTAGACCTCCAAATTCAGCTAATTTTAACGGTAAGAAGAACCATAAACCTTTGTTTCTAATACCTCAATTAATTTTTTTAACCTGAGTTTATTCTATATAAGCAAATTCATAATTTGATACATGATTTTATTGCATACATAGCACTAGCCATATTTTCTTTTAAAAGTGGTTATATTAACTACAATACATGAAAAAAATTATGAAACTATTTTTACTTATAAAGTTAACCTTATAGATAAGAAACATTTTGAGCTCAGTTAAGTTCTCAAATTTGTTGTTTAATTGTAAAATTCAACTTTACTGTATATTTACAGGAAGAATTCAATATTATGAACAAGGATCTGTTATTCCACTGCCTGCAAGGCTGTGCTTTGAATGTGGGAAAAGCTGTAGAAAAGCACCTCTTATTGCATGTGATTATTGTCCTTTGTATTTTCATCAAGATTGTCTTGATCCTCCTCTTACTGCTTTTCCAAGTGGCAGATGGATGTGTCCCAATCACCTGAATCACTTTTTAGATGAACATCTTTTAACCTCTTGCGCAGCTTCAGAGAGAATAAAATTATGGGATAAATATGCCAATCAAAAAATTGACCAAAATGCTGTTAAGCTACAGTTCATAAAGAAGGCACATGCAGTAAATCCTCTTTTTCGAATAAAAGTTCAAAGAAATCAAAAAGGCAGAGTCAAAGTTCCAGCCTGCATAAAATTACATTATGCAAATCCACCTGAACTTGACATTTGTCGATTATATAAATACGGAAAATTTATAAATCCTTTCGTTAAAAAACCAATTTGTACAAATATTTCTAAGGCTATAGACACAGAATCGAAAGGAGAAAGTAGCAATGATTTAGAAAATGATCAGGAAGATACTGATGTTAGAAGTAATGGAGTTTCAATTGATGATGATAAATGTAGTTCAAAATCCAAGAGCTCTGAAGAAGATGTGATAGAAAATCATTGCAGTAAACTAAAGTGCATAGATGAACAAATGGATGGAGATATGGATGAAATATGTTTGGATGAAATTGAACATACAAAAGAAAAAATTCAAGAAATAATTGTTGGAAAACTTGACTGCGATGAGAACTATTTTAATGACAGAAAGGAGGACGTTGTAAAAATTGAAGAGCCTGTCTCCAAGTTCAATGATGTGGGAAAAATGGACATGATTTGTACTGATGACAGAATAGAAACTAATGGTCAAGAAAAGTTAGAAGATGAAAATAGTAAAGAAAAAATTGAGTCAAATTCCACAGAAAAATTAGACAATGATGTTCATGAAAAAATGGAAATAAATTGTAATGATGAATTAAAAATTAACAGTCAAGATTTTACAAAAGAAATAAAGATTGAAAAGTTAGAAGAGATTACTAAAGAAGATCAAAACAAAAAAGTTGAACAAATTCAAGCAATTACACAAGATACTGAGGATATTTCCTGTGTCAATTCAGATCAAGATAGTAATGTAGAAAGTATAAAAGAAAATGCAATTAATATCTGTGAAAATAGTAAAGAACAATCAAAATCAAAAGAAATTGAGGAAAATAATGTTCTAAATGATGATACAGAGAATGAAACAAAAAGTATTGAACCAGGTACTGAAAAAGTATTAAGGGAGGAAGAGGAAGAGCAGCATGTCCAAGAAATTATACCAGAAGAATTACACAATAATGATGATGAAGTAAATAATATGGATGTTGATGAATCAAATGATTCCGATATTGATATGATGGAAACAGAGGTGCAGAGCGAAGAAGCAAATAATGAAGGGAGTAATGATAATCAAAAAAATAGTGATTGTGAAAGTGAAGATAATGATGAATATTCAGAATTTGATGAATTTTTACGAAGTGGTCTTGGATATAAAGTTAAAGAAGGCGTAAGTTTGTTAGAGAGACCAGTACTTGAAGCATTAGCAGAACAGAGATTACAACAAATTTTAAATCCATCAAATGAATGTTATCAAAGTTTAAATCATACTTCTAAAGCTAGAGCATTACTGTTTCCATTGGGAAAAACAAATGGACCTCCAGTATTTATGACTGGAAAAACATTAAACGTTGGATTAGGAGGTGAATCTCATTTAACTCTAAATCAGTATGGATGTTGCGGTTTTCTTTCTCCAAAACATGCAGTCATCTTTTATGATGAGGTAAATAAATTTATTGCGTAGTATTATGTGGCTTTTATTTGAAAACTTAAATATTAAGATTCAGTAATTACAAAATAATTTTATATCACTGATATATTTCATAAATAGTTTTTTTTCTTTAAATATTACAAAAATAATCATAAATCTTTTTTCAATATTTATTTTGTAAAAATAAACTTTGATATTTTATTTACAGACAACCAATCGGTACGAGTTACTAAATTACAGCGAGCATGGAACTACAGTTGACAATGTTTTGTATTCCTGCAACTACAATATATATGAATTAGATAGTGAAAATTCTCATATGAAGGGTCGCAAGGGAGCCAAGTATACAAATCAAGAATTAGTAGAAGATGTCAGAAAAATTGCGTACAGAAATAAGCCACAGTCGTCTAGTAATGAAGACAACAAAGAGCCTGTCTGCAAATGTGATTTAAAGAGATCGAGATACAATAAAATGGATTTAGGATGGGAAGGCAGTGCGATGCTTGATCATGGATCTATTTTGAACTTTGGATGCTTGACATTTGTGTTCAGTGTTGTGGATCTATATGCAAGTCGATAATACTCAAATTGTACAGACTTTTAAATTAAACTTTACAATAGGCGTTATAAATACTAAGTATAATTATAAATCTAGTTAAAATTTGCTATCATCTTAATCGTAAGTAATAATAAGCAAATGTCCATTGAAAATGGTTTTTCACTATGAACAGAGTTTCACAAGGTTCTATACGTAATAGACTTTTTCAGTTTTAAACGTTTTTATGTATATAAATATTCTGTCATTCGCTGGAAGAGCTTAGCTCCGTAAGGCAGCAGTAAAAGACTGATCGTACGTTTGTGTGTAGAAGTAAGGCTTTTTTTTTTCTTCAGAGCTCATCATATACTCGTCGCACTTGTACACGCAGAGACGCGCAAACAAGCAAGTTTCGCGCCGGTGGACTCACTTGCACGTGTATACGTCAAGACTTTTGTTGCAAGTGCTGCATTGGACTTCGCAGCACCAGTGGAACTTGCAATCGCACCTCTCGCTGATGATGCTCTTTTGAGTATTGTAGCCTCGACCGCAGCACAAAAGATTGCAGCCGTCTATGCCGGTGGACGTTCTATTGCAAGTTCTTCCTCGAGTGCCTGCGAACGAATTAATGCCCGACGACAAATCATTATATCACAACGAAAATAATATCATTAAAGTCGTTTTTAATGGAGAGGAAAACTTCCAATTGTAAAAATGTTCTCTACTAGATTTATAAATTCTTTCGTATTACGTTCGGTGTTAGGGTAATTTTTAAACAGCGCATGCATTAGAATAGAATAAAAGCAATTCGCTTGAAGTGTCATAATTTTTGAAATGCTTCAAAATAAATTGTGAAATTCAAATTTGTTATAAAATGGTTGAAAATACCTACCTAGCTAGTTAATGTAATAAAATTATTAAGAAAAACAGCATGAATGTGTTGTGTACATTGTTCTTTCGCAATAAAGAAATTAATACAATCATCGATCGTATAACACATATTGAACAGAAAAAAAATAGTAAAAAAAAAAAATTGCCAAAATTGCAAAATTAAAGACAATATATATTTTCGTTAAAAAATTTAAAGGGTAAAACTAGGATCTATATTCTGTAACTCACCTAGGGAACCGAGAGACGAGTTGGCAAAGCAATAGTTGGGCGAGTCGTCGAGGTAAACCAAATCGTTGGCCGTCGGCAGAGAGTATCTTGGATCCTTGATCGACAGGCGGCCCCTTCGATTGACCTTTACCTCGGTGGCGCCGTCGTACTTGTCCAGTAGATAATCGCCTTGGATTCGAGGACAGAAAAATGGAAAAGAAAAGGGGGAAAAAAAAAACAAAGACGTGTTGGTTTATTAATCGAGCGTCTCGTTACGTGTTCTAAAATTTTAAGATTTACTTTTAGCGATTAATTGTGAGTTTATATCATTAATATTTTGCTTATCGAGTTGATTGTTTTCAAGTTCCAACGTAAATTGTAAGCAAATGTATTGTAAAAGCGAATCATACTTCTAAACTCGTATATATAAGTAATCAATGTAAGTTCGCTATTTTTAAGATTCCACGATGATAAAGCGAGAAAAAGCAAGCAGTTTAAAAAAAATTGTATAAATTAGCGTTTAGCATGGATAAATTACATATAGACATCTTTATCATTTATACAGGATACGAAGCAAAAAAAAAAAAATTATAAACGGGTACGACTTGAATGTATGGTGCATGTATATATATTTATTATACACAAAAATATAAATACATTACACGTAAAAACATACTGTCTATTCGCGATTGTGATAACATTTTTATTATGTTAATAAAAAAACATATTAAGCATTCAATTGAAGCATCGTGATGTATGGCAGCAGTAGCGCATACGGATCGTTCTTTTCTTTTTTTAAGTTTTTGCCCCGCTATCCACGCGTTAAATAAGCGAAGAAAGTTTGACGATACGTGTACTCGGTGACTCGTCGAAGCGCGACCCTATTATATCATTATTATTGTGCGTATACACCTCGACGAGTTTTTCTCACACATTCTCATTATCACGCGTTCTTATATACAGCTGCTCTCGCGCGCGCGAGCTTTTATAAGGCTTGTAATTAGTTCGTGTATATATAACATATATATCCGTGCGAGCGCGATTTCATTCATTAACTATTTTTCGAGTCGTAAAGGCATCTTTATAATATATATTATACGCGTATCGCGTGTTTTCGTCGTCGTCGTCGTCATTTTTTTTTTCACTCGCGTAGTACCGGGGCAGAAATATGCGAGCCCGCGCGCGCGCGTATGCGTTTTCTTTACTAATTAGAAATTCAAGTGGCTGCGTTGCGAGCTCCGCCATAAAATGCCTCTCTGTATATAACAGGAAAAACGCATAGGCAGGCACGATCGCGCGAGAGGCGCGCACGTGCCTTGTCCTCCTGTCCCATTAAAAACAAGTAGTTCAACCAGAAACCAATTAAAGATATCTATGGGCCTTTTTCTCCTCGTGCTCGAGGCGCTCGCTCGGCTTATAGCCATATTTTTACGATTCGCATTTATATATATCGATATTAATACGTATATATGTAATACGATCGTTTCTAATTTTATCCCGAAACGCCAATAACGGGCATACACGCTTCCGAGCAATTAAACAATCGACGACGATGATGCGCGCGCGAGAAAGGAGATCGGCATAGAGTAATTATATATATATATATCGATCTCTCGGGCGAGTCGCGGCTTGATTCGTTCCAGATAAAGCTCGCGCGCCGAGAAGCCGAGAGAAAAACCAAACGATCCGATCGAGCGCTAATCGTTTCGTCGAGCCAAGAGCTCGCAAAAAGCGCGCGAGTCGATTTATCATGCAGCAGCAGCAGCGACTTACCGATTTCGCGAAAGGAAGCCAGTTGCTGCCAGCAGGTGATGAGACTGCAGCTGCCCGATACGCCGTGACACTTGCACGTTACCTTCGATCGCTTGATTACTGCCTATTTAGAGAGCGAGAACAGAACAAAAAAAAACGGAGAGCCGTATACAATATATATGTGTATTTCAAGCGCGTCGATTGGCAGCTAGTTAAAGTATAATACGACTGTGTACTTACTCGTCGGCCGGCTTCGTTGTTGTGAAGATTCACGAGGCTGCGGCCGTGCTCGTGACTGCGACGCTTGTGGCGCTGCTCCCGCTCCCTCACGTCGATGAACGATTGCGCGAATCTGCAAATCACGATCGGCGTGGTGAAAAATCGGCACCCACATATAATTGGCGATTTAAGAAAAATATATATCTTCGATCGCTCACTTGTATCCGTATTCGAGATTGTCGCCGCAGCCGCCCCAGATCCACTCGCGATTGAGGTCCTTGGGCCTGGAGCCACGGGAGCAGCCGCAGCTCGACAGCTGGCCGTCGCGACAGGCCCGCGCCAGGGTGTAGACGAGGCCCGCGGCGCCGATGGCGTGCACGAAGGCCGTCTCGCGACTGCCGGACTCGAGCACGGGCCCGAAGATGGCCGCGACTTGATTCTTCTTGCTCTCGGAGTCATCGTCGAGGGGCGTCGTCGTCGTCGAGCAGTTCCAGCGCCGATGCTGGAACTGGTGCTGGCACTCGTCGATGGCGCTCCTGGCGCCGCGCGCCACCCACGGCATGTGGTCCTGCGACAGGCCGCAGAGCTTCTCCTGGCCGGGGCTCAGGCCTCGCAGCTGTTTGCAGATCGACGCGCTCGGCGGCAGTTGGCGCAGCAGCAGCGGCAGCTCGTCTGAGTCGCCGCGATGTGATCGTTCCTCGCTCTTGTTGCCGCCGCTGTGACGGCGATGATGGTGGCGTCTTATGGCCGACGAGGAGCCGATCGACGTCGCTCGCAGAGCCAATGCGTCCAGTCGAGCCATGTCCTGGAGGCCGGCGTGTCTGCAACGATTCACGATCGATTCGGTTTTCTCTCTCTCTCACACACACACTTATCTTATCTAGAACGTCGATCATCGACACTTACATCCACGTTGACGAGCGCGGAAAAGTCGCGCTGGGCGTGACGATCGGTAACATCCATACGACCAGCAGCAGCAGCAGCAGTCCAAGTGCCATCTGCAACACGTCTCAATTTTATAACATCGTTTCTTTTTTCACTCATCCGTGCAGATTCGTATGCAATTATACTCACGCGCATCGTTGGCCGAGTATTAGATTCCATCCTGTCAGTGTGCAGTGTAAGACAATACGAATCTTCGTAACGATTTAGCTCGCGCGTACAAAGCTCGAAGAAGCTTCTTCGCCTCGTCGAAACACGCGCGAGTCTTTTTTCGCCTTTTTTTCACGCAAACAGCGATCGAAGCGTGAAATTGACGGCAGCTGAGCGCAGTGGTTCAGGTTTTCCGCTGATTGATATACGAAACTCGACATTCGAGTCCTGCTCCGCGGCGCAGCACGTCTACGCCTCGGAATGTCTCTATATGTATAAATGCGCGATATCGGCGCTCTCTCGATTTTTCGTCGGGACAGCAGAAGAGCAGCGTCAGTCTACATATTATCGTCGAATTAAAACGCGTCTAAAGCGTGTCAGAGCCGCTGCTGCTGCTGCAACATCGGATCCGCGAGCTGAATCGCGTCGGCTGCGATCGGCCCATTTCCCCCTTGGGCGCACGAGCTGTAGCTATAATGGTGGAGTTACGTACGCTGCACAACATATCTCGGCTCTGTTCTTCTTTCACCTGCGCCGATCTCGCCGGTGAGGATCGCTGTCCGCGTGGACGATGGACGATCGCCGCACCGATGTGTCTTATTGGCGTATACAGCTGTCGCAGCAGCTCTCGTCGTTATAGTCCGCGAAATCTGCAAAGTGGAGAGAAAATAATCGGCTGTATATATAAAGAATAGGCGCACGTACACAATCTGCCAGATAAATAAATATAGATCCTGCTACAATGTGTGTGCGCGTGTGTGTAATTTAATGGAACACAGGCGGAATCGAGCTGGCCCGGTAAACTTTTGAGCGATCGGCGAAAGAGGAGAAAGGAAGCTGCGCACGCGTACGTACACGTATAAGCGTTTTAATTGACGTGCTTGGAGTACATAGATCTTGCGGGAGCTTCGAGCGGCTACGAGTACGTTTGGATGTTATAAAATAACCGCCGCGTAGTTGCACTTTCCCGAACTATATACCAATAATAGTAGTACGTATTATATTATAAGTTTATATATATACGTGGTGCGCAGCAGCGCTCGAGAGATGGAGAATTTTCTCTCCCTTCGGCCGCCTCCTTTCTTTTCTTTTTTTCTTAACTTTTCACTGTGTATAGCCAAGGCAGCAACAGCTTATGGTCGTAAAGGCGAGCCGTATATACCGACGAGCGATTGTAAATCAGTTTGGTTTATTAGCGGCTACGTGTATGAGCTGTATACGCATTTAAGCCGATTTATAATGGGCGCGATATGCTCCGTATATAGTGCGCGTTAGGTGCAAACCGCGCGCCGCATTGCACCGCCGTATTTTCGACGTTTTCGCCGTTATTAGCGCGAAGTCCAAAAAGTAAACACAGACATGGGTAATGTAAGAGGAGCCTCGGAGGATCTGCCGATCGATTACGATCCTATAATCGATGCACACGATACCGTAAGTCAAGTTCTGCTCGCTGCGGAGAAACAAAGGAAGGGACGAAAGATGAAGCTCGCGATCACGATCGCTGGACCGAACGCGACTACGACAATCCTGAGAAAGAAAAAAGAGAGAAAAACTTAAAATTGAGTTACGCATAAGATCGAGTTCAAGTCGCGTAAGAATTCAACCAACGCCGGATCCAATTTTCACGAAAGCCCGCTGCAAACGATCGCATTATGCGAGTATAAATGCGGATCGAGCAAAGTCACGCACGCGACGCCACTTGCGCCTTCAACTTTACGATTCATTAAATCTTTTCCATTATTTTAATTAACAACATCTAGCGTTATGTCTCTCTCTCTCTCTCGCCTCGAGCGAAGGCGGGTATATGTAGCACATAAATTTATCTTCCGCATCCGCGTCCTTTTAAAGCCTCTACTTTTTTCTTTACTTCTTTTTCTTGCGCGAGGGACTCGCTTAGCTCGCACGCACGACGGCAAAGAGATATAAAGTTTATCATTTTATTACACAGTTCGTTGTATATTAAGAGCCTCGCCAAGTGCACATAGTACCATATACATACACGACTGTATGCGCATAACAGTGCGTAGCTGTAAAATAGAAAAGTGTATCGAGATAGTAGGCCCCCGCTTGGCTCGAGCCGCGTCGGAGCCGCACGCGGAGAGTATCGCCGATAAAGAAAGGGACGTTCACCTTCTGGCGACTTCTCTCGGACTCTGCTGCTGCTGCTGTTGTATTTTTTTTTTGCTTCTCTCCTCGACCGATTCGTCTCGACCCATAATAACGATCACGCCTACCATACTTATTTACGCTTTTTGTTATACGTTATTGTCGCTGCGGCGTATATATATCGCACGGCGTGACAAATCGAAACGATGTTAGATGCGAGATAGACGAAGGAAGAAAAAAAGGGGGGGATAAATAAATAATAAAATGAAAAAAAGTGTAAAAAAGCCGAAAGTTAGCACGCCGGTGCAGCCGATACATACACCGAGTGCAGCTGTGTGCAGTAACATCGTCGTCTCTCTTTGCCACGCGCAGCGCAAATAATGTCGCGCGGCTTCAAAAGACAGATATGCACGTACACGAGTACGTGTATAAGGGATCTCGGCGCGGCTCGCGGCTCGTCTTTGACGGCTAATATTACGACGCGAGCGCGTGTCAATAAACGCGCGCCCAATGTTTGCTCTTCAGACTCGCGGACTCGACGATAGTACGCTGCAAGTCCCGCGCGTGCAGCTATTAACATACATATATCGAATCGTCTCAGTAAGTACGTGTGCATAATATATATAATATTATCAAACTGCGAACGGATACATCTTCCGCCTTTGTACATTTTGCAGTCTCTCGCATATATACTTGAGGCACTTGTATACATCGTGCTCGAGCACATGTACACTTTCACCTCGAACGTCTGTGTGTGTGTAGTCGCAAATTCGAGCGATAAGGATAAAGGCTACACAGGCCGTTTGCGGTCTCGGCTCGTCCGGCCCTATGTACGAGAGCCGTAATTTATCGCGACAGGACTAAGTGATTTGATTCTCTTTTCTATTTTTTATCTTTATGCCTGTCTCGCGAAAATCGCGTTTTCTGCTCGCGTCGAGTCGCCCTTTCTCCTCGCGTCTATTATAAACACACCGAAACATGCGAGGGACGTTGTTTTTTTTCAAATTTCACGCGCGCCTGAATTTGTGCAATCGCGTACTACGATCGGCTCATCATTTTTTTCTTTCTCTTTCTCTCTCTTTCTCTTCCTCCGGTTCTCGATTTTTCTCGCGTTGCAGCAGCGGTGGCAAAAGCGGCGTCGATCGCACGGTAGAGACGCACGAGATAAAAGGATCGTCGTCGTCGTCGTCGTCGTCGAAGGACTCGAGATCGAGACGCGTCACTTTCATGAATTTTTTGCCCTCTTTTGTTTCTCTCTCTCTCTCTCTCTTGGCTTTGGGTATGTAGCCGCGCGCGATGATAATTTATTTTCTTTGATAATTATAATACGTGACTTTGCGCGTATACACGAGCGTATAGACGCGTAATATATCTAATGGGGGTCGTGCGCGATACTTGATTAATTAATAATACCCGAATGAAAAAAAAAGCCGAGAGAGTAAGAAAATTGCACGAAACGTGTTTCTTACGAGGTGTACGTTCGCTCGTTTTTTATCAATCAATATGGATTATTAAAGTGTGCGGTAATAATATGTCGTTGCGCATACGAGTATATATACGCGGCACTATAAACAGAGTCCTTCCAACATATAGCGACACATAAAAATACACTCACGCACAGAGACACACACACACACACACACACACACTGCAGTTGAGCAGTTGGCAATTTAATGGTCCATTACCTGCACAGCCTCGTAGGTAATTCTCTTTATCTCTCGTCGGGCAAACGATAAAGTTCGGTTGGAAAATATTTCGTCACGCTTCCACGTACGTATGTGTGATATAATCAGAGTCGAAGTCCCATGCACTTGACACACGGCACACGGAGTACAATCGATTGGCGATCGGTTTCACACGCGCACATCGAGACGCACTACTGTACGCGACGACACATGTGTATGTATACCCGCGAGCGTCGATCACCCCGCAGTATATACCTGCACCTGCACCAGCGAACAGGTACTCGAGTGTACGCGGTGCGGGATAATCGACGAGGATCTCTTCTCCACTTCTTCAGCTCGCTCGGCTCATTGGGGGAGGGTACGATGTCAGCGTGCGTCGACGTACATTACACACGGCAGCACAGCGGGGGGGCCCACTGTGCTCGACTCGGCCGATCTATATCGATCTCTATCGGACACGAGGCTGCAATTTTGACACTACACCACTGTCGTCGTCGTCGTCGTCGTCGTTGTTGTTGTTGTCAGGGATTGGGCGGCGCGTGTCCACGGACGATGCTCGCAGCTGCGACTGCACACTCTTATACGTATACCGAGAGCGTGTGTATCGCGCGGCACAGTGAGCCCCGTGTGCGCGCGGCTGATCCGCTCCGATCTCTCGCAAATATATATCCTAAGAGGGGAGTTGCTCTTGGCTGCTGCTGCTACCTCAGCAGAGAGAGAGAGAGCGAGAACATTTGCCGCCGCACACATACACACGTACCTATATATACTTAAATACCTCCTTTCTCTCTCTCTCTCTCTCTCCCTCGACTAAAATCTTTTTTAGCTCGAGTAGGCTCTTTGCACCGCGCGAGTCCCTATATACATACCCTGCTGTAACGCACCAACACAGGCAGAGAGAAAGAGAGAGAGAGAGAGA